ACGTTGGTTTCATTGTTCATGCAGGGTCTTGCGGATGGTCCCGTCAAGACTCACCTGTTCCGGCTTGAACTAGATTCACTAGAACAAGCCATATCCATTGCGGAACAGGAAGACTTCAGTCTGAGACAAGCTCGCGCCAGCTCGACATCATATCGTCAAACGAGACGATATGACAGCGGAGGTCCAGAGCCGATGGAACTCTGTTGTGTAGAGAGCGAGAAGGCTCGCTCTACAGACTACAAGAAGTTGCAGAGATGCAACAGATGTCAAAAGACAGGACACTACGCTTACGATTGTAGTGCCCCTCGTCCAGTGTCTCGCAACACTGGGCGTAGTGACCGTCCACCCATGAGAAAGGGGCAGGGACGCGGGTCCGCTGTTGGTGCGAAAACGCAACAACGGGATGGACCGTCAAAAAACGGACAGGATCAGTAGGTGCGGAGCACCCTACTAGTCCAGCAACGTCAAGAAAATTTGTGGGCCTCTTGATGAAGGTTGCTCCCGACACACAAACATTGTGCGTTGCTGCTCTAGGTAATGAGATCTCACTCATTACCTTGAAACTCGAAGTGACGAATAAGTTGTCCCTTCGAGCTCTAGTCGATTGTGGGGCGTCCAACAATTTTGTGCGACGCCAATCGCTAGAAGATGGTCACTTTAAGTTCAGTGAATGTGACACACCTCCTACGAGGATGACGGTACGTCTTGCGACAGGCGCATTCGCAACCGTCATGAAGCGTATAGTGAAGATCCACTATACGCTAGAAGATACCCAATATGATGATGACTTTATCGTATTGGATTTAGATGACAAATTTGATGTCATCCTTGGAATACCGTGGCTCAGAAGGTACGAACAATGGGTAAACTGGCAACATCGAACAGTAACGATGCCTGCCGCTTGTTCATCAGATGGCCATCTGATGAACGTTTTGGAGCGTCCACAAGCGTGTGGCTGTACTACGAGTAAGTGCGATGGCCTCACTTGTGGTACGGTCGTTAGTACGACTGCACAAAACCTTAGTGTAACAAACAGTTACACTTCGGAGCAAAGTTCCGGCGGCTGTGAGGAAACACAGGCTGCGCCGAAGGTCCACCAATCGAATAAGTCGAGTGGACCGGGACAAAGATGTATCCTTAGTGGGGAACATCTAGAAGAGAAACAATCGATCGCTCAGGTTAAGTGAAACGATAATCCTAGATCGACTGGAGAGTCTTTCGTAGAGGATCTCGCTGTGGTTGCGCAACCACAGCTAGAGGAAGTAAAGGGAATAAGTCCCAATATTACAAATACGGCGGAAATAAGTTCCCCGAAACCCGCGGGAATAAGTCCCCGGGAAGCCGAAGGAATAAGTCCTTCGAGGCCTGAGGGAATAAGTCTCCAGGAAATGACTGAGACATTGAATGTCATAGTCAATAACGGATCAAGTGTAGGCGCTTATACACTTGATCTGATTGCGCCTCCGAAGTTGACTTCGAAGATCACTCAGTTGACAACGCTCGAACACAAAAGGGGGTTCTTGCGTGATCTGCGTAGTGGCAGTCAAAGTCAAGCCGAGGTACTCGTCGGGCGAGTGTGTAGCCGACAAAAAGGTCAGCAACAGTGTTTACTGAGAACGAGAGAGTTCTCAGTAGTTCATCTATGGACGAGAGTGTCCTAGATGAAAAGACACGAATTGAGCGATATGACTCCCAATCATGGGAATCGCTCAAGACAAATCCTCTCTATGAAGATTTGGTTGAATTCAAGGATGTATTCTCTGAAACTGTTCCGTGCGAATTACCGAAGGATAAAGGTACTCGAAACGAGGTCGAGCTTAAACCAGGATCGAAGTACTGTGTCATGAAGCAGTGGCCACTGCCTCGTGAACAAGTACTTGCGATCGACAAGTTCTTTGCCGATCGTTTAGCTTTGGGCCATGTGAGGGAATCAACTTCTCTCTCCATACCTCCTTCTGTGTGCGAAAGCAACAGGAGGTTAGCGGATTGTGCATGCATTTAACAAGTTGAATGCTGCAACGGTACAGTCTCAGACGCCGATACCGAGGAAGGACGTAATCATTGATGGTATGTCAAAGAGTACCATCTTCTCGTCCATGGATCTGATGGATGGCTTCTATCAAATCCTTATGCGAGAACGGGATATACTCTATACCGCAGTTAGCACGCCTAGCGGCATGCTCTGGGAATGGCTAGTAATGCCACAAGGGCTTAGTAATGCCCCCTCCACGTTCAACAGATGTGTATCACATCTGTTGAGACCAGTACAGAAATTCGCGCCGAGTTATTTCGATGACGTATTCATCCATAGTCGGGCTATGGATGGAAAGTCGGACGTTGAGGTTCACAGGTACCACGTCCGACAGGTTTTTACAATCATGCATAAGAATCAATTGTATGCAAATCTCAAGAAGTCGTATATTTGCAGCAAGCGAAATACCACTTCTTGGGTGCATCGTTGGTAAGAACGGTGTACGTCCTGATCCCGAAAAGATCAAGGCGATCACCGACTGGCCTATGCCGGTTGATGTCAAAGGTCTTCGAAAATTCCTTGGGCTAGCGGCGTATTTGCATAAGCATTCACGCAATTACGCCGATATGACTGTGCACCTCTCGCGTTGAAAAAGAACGAGAGCAGTGGTTATGCGGGGACGCTGAATGTCATCGCCTCTTGATGGTATCAAGCAGAGCTTCGATACAATCCCCAGTCCTAGCAATAGCCGATCAGGACAGGCCATTTCATGTGGTCTGGATGCCAGCGATTTCGCAATCGGCTGTGCATTAATGCAGTTCGATCTTGAAGGCGTCGTCTGCTATCAGCCGCGTCAGCTGCACCCAGCTGAGCGGAACTATCTAGTTCATGACAAGGAACGCCTTGCCATGAAGTATGCACTCGCGAAGTTCATAGTCTATCTATTAGGAGATAGACCCTTCATTGTTTACACAGACCATGCGTCGTTACGCGCAGTGAACAGCCCGCACCTTTCACAACGAATGGCGCGGTGGTTGTCATTCTTTGCAGAATACAACTTTACGGTCGAGTACAAAACAGACGACTTATGTCGTCGCTGATGCGCTCACGTCGTCCCGACTTTGAACCAGTCTTGAAACCCAACAGTGAGACAGTTACTGTTGCGGTTATGACGTCCTCAGTCCCATCTACAACGTTGTATGATGATGTGAGGAGGGCATACGCCCAAGATGGTGAGATTGTGAAGTTGTTGACACATCTCTCTCAACCATCTCGAGAATCGTTGAAACAGTTATCGTCTGCGTATCGATCTGCATCAGATCGATGCACTACTTGCAACGGGTTACTGTATATACAGCCGTTTCTGGTGACACACCGCGTTGTCATTCCAGATGATACTGATCTGCGTTTGCGGATCATGTCGAAAATCACGGTACTCCGATAGGAGGACATCGCGCGCGAGAAAACGTATCTCACGGTGAGTCGAGCTTTACTGGCCCAGCCAGTAATTTGTGCGAAAGTATGTTAACGCATGCGAAGTCCGTCAACGAGTGAAGTCAAGTCCTTCACCTTTGCACTTCCTCTACCAGTTCTGCAGCTGAGTGCTGGGAATCCATCTCAATGGATTTCGTCTTCGGGTTACCCAAAGACGCACGCGGGAATACGGGTATTCTTGTATTTGTTGACAGATTCAGCAAAATGGTACACCTTGTGGCTGTACGGGAGTCAATCACGGCAAGTGGCTGTGCTTATGTCTTTATTGACACTATCTTTCGACTTCATGGGTTGTCCCGTGAACTCGTATCAGACAGAGATCCACGCTTCACTGCTGATTTCTGGCGCTCCGTGTTCAAATCACTCGGAACGCGCTTGAAGATGTCGATATCTGATCATCCAGAGTCAGATGGTCAGACGGAACGTGCCAATCGTGTCCTTGAAGAGATACTTCGAGGATACGTACACTCCTTTACTAGTTGGAGTGAGTTCTTGCTAATGGTAGAGTTTGCCATTGACAACTCGATTCATGCGTCCACGACACATACACCGTTTTACGTGAATGGCTTGCGCCATCCGCGTGTACCCACCTTACTCGAGTGTAACTCTGGTTTAAGGGGGGGAGAGACTCGCGCGAGCAAAAACCGATTTGGTTCACGCTCTTCACGCCCTGACGAAGAGGTCATTGCGTTTGATGCCGATATCGACAACATCGATATCGAAGAAGATGATGCCAGTGAGAGTGAAAAAGCCCTCATTGAAGAAAAGGTTGATGTTGCTGCAGTGCACTCACAGCGCACTGAAGCTAACGAGTCATCAGATGAGTTCATACTGGCTCGTGAAACGGTAGTCCGTTTTGTGCAAGACTCCATCGCCGAAGCGGTGGATAAGCAAAAGCAAAACGCTGACAAGAATGGAAGGGCAAACACTCTTTTATTTAATAAAGGTGACTTAGTCCTACTGTCTACGGTTAATCTACCAAAGATTGTAGTGACTAACTTGGGTGGTAGTAAACTACTACCCAAGTACATCGGCCCATTTCGTGATTGCACCGCCTAGGAAATGCATACACGATCGAGTGCCACGTAAGATGCGAACGCATCCCACGTTTGACGTTGGTTGGCTTAAGACGTACCATCAGTACGCTGCTTCTTCCGATGAAGAACGCCCTTGCGCTCAAGCATCTCTCAGAGAGCCTTGTGCTCCCGATGATGGGCATCGACAAGGGTCTGGAGAGCAGTTATCTCATCCCGAGACCGATCAACAATCCCATGAGCTACCCTTAGCTCGTCACCAAGAGATGTCAGAGCTCTCTCGTTCTCAAGCTGAGCAAAGGCAAACTCAGCTCGATGCTTCAAGACAGCGTCCGCCAGTTGGAGACGCCTGTCCCGCTCATGTTCGAGATCGTTGCGTAACCCTTGCGTTACGCGATCAAAGAAGCTCTCGGGAACACACGGATCCCCACGATCGTGTGGAGAGCGTCTTCCCTCCTCCTCCACCTCCATTAGAGGACTCTCGCGGTGGCCAGCGCTATCTAGTTGAGCAGCTGTTGAACCACCGCGACGTGAACGGACGTCGGACGAGTTCTCTCGTCCGGTGGCGCGGCTATCCCTCGTCCCTGGGATCTTGGGAGCCCCGCTCCCAACTGATGGTTGACGTACTGGGTCTGGTGAGCAGTACGACGCGGCACATCCTGTGCCGCAGAAGGACCGCCGGAGAAAGTCTTCCCGGCACGGTCGTAAAGGGATTTCAGGTTGTCAATCCCTTCGTACATCTCACTAGAGATACGTACGCACCACCACGGGCTTAAGGAGGTAAGCCTCCTAGGTGCTCGTGCAGAGTTGTTCACACAACATGGGCACGAGTCTCCCCAAGAGAGGCAGGGTAATTCCTTCTCCCTTGACAGACGATGCAGCGTAGCGTGCACTTGGGGTTCGCTTTCAAACTTATCACGAGCTTTGATAAGTTTGTCAGCGTCACTATCACGACCTACATCCTCAAGGTTATGGATGTAGGCGTTCCACGCTTGAAGCAGTGAGGACCATCACGTTTGTGATTCCCACTGTACCATCAATGTCTAAAGAAAGCATCGATGAAGAAATCATTCTCAGCGCGATAGTTTTTCGCGCTGGGGTCAAGGTGATGGATCCTTGACGAATCGAACAACCGTGTTCGATAACGATCACTCGTCGTCGCCGACAAGTGATCCATGACGGATTTAGAGGCATCCATGCCTTCTTCTCGGGAAGCGAGACGCAACACGCTGCGGTCCCTCTTCCTGCGACGTGCCGACAGAAGGACTGACACCTCGTTGCGAAGTTGTGTCAATAGGAGAACCGACACCACTGTTAGCGCCCGAGCTTGCGATCTCCCGAGCGCCTTCGCTTCGGCGATGGTTCGTCTGATTCATCAGACGAACCAAAGATATACGACGCATAGCATCATCCATGCCACGCTTGGCAGGTGGCTTGGATTCGATCGCCGTCGATACGGATCCGTCTTCCGTATCAGGAGAGTATGAGACTCCGAGCTCATACTCTGTGAAGACATGAGTGACTTCATGACCGTCATCTGCATCGCCAAGTGACACAGGCTGAGTCGCTGCAGCAACCGATGAGACATCAGTTGCTGCGGTTTTGCTTCGGCGTCCGCACAAAGACGTGCGGACGCGCTCCGGCGGCTTCTCGCGCATCGCATGGGCTTGCTAACCATGCGATGAGATGTTGGAAAGTGAACTCGTACCAACAAGTGCAAACCCCGTCCCAAATGATTTGAGACGAGTATCCATTTCGCCAATCAGTCACTAAAGTTACCGATGATTAAGGGGGTGGGGGTAACGGAGTGAATCGTTACATAACCATTTATAAGAAATTGTTTACAGAATGTAACTGTGAGAGTTACATTCTCAGAATATTTGGTCATAAGGACAAATATTCTAGAGCACTTACGAGTAGTTCCTGATTGGTTGATATAGGCCATTATATCAACCAACGAAGACGCGCCACGACAGACGCACGCAATGAGTGGTGAACAGATAGTTGATATGCACATTTGTATTCAGACACAGTTAGATGAAGATAAATAGTGATTTATTGCAGACATTAACTATTATAAATACAGTTCTACTTTTTACTTTAACCAAGTACTCGCCTCTTCTTACCGTCTTCCTCTGCACGTACGAGTGTACTTGAAGTTCCGAGGCACCGCCTTCTTCTGTCATCAGAATAAGTAGCTTGTACTGTCACCAGTACAAGCTTCAGGGTGCCCCGTTACATCACGCATGTCTCGCTCACGCATCGCACGTCGCGTCGAATAGCTAAGCGCATTTGTAACGGGGCACCCTGAAGCTTGTACTGGTGACAGTACAAGCTACTTATTCTGATGACAGAATAAGGCGGTGCCTCGGAACTTCACGTACACTCGTACGTGCAGAGGAAGACGGTAAGAAGAAGCAAGTACTTGGTTAAAGTAAAAAGTAGAACTGTATTTATAATAGTTAATGTCTGCAATAAATCACTATTTATCTTCATCTAACTGTGTCTGAATACAAATGTGCATATCAACTATCTGTTCACCACTCATTGCGTGCGTCTGTCGTGGCGCGTCTTCGTTGGTTGATATAATGGCCTATATCAACCAATCAGGAACTACTCGTAAGTGCTCTAGAATATTTGTCCTTATGACCAAATATTCTGAGAATGTAACTCTCACAGTTACATTCTGTAAACAATTTCTTATAAATGGTTATGTAACGATTCACTCCGTTACATCACCCCCCCCTTAATCATCGGTAACTTTAGTGACTGATTGGCGAAATGGATACTCGTCTCAAATCATTTGGGACGGGGTTTGCACTTGTTGGTACGAGTTCACTTTCCAACATCTCATCGCATGGTTAGCAAGCCCATGCGATGCGCGAGCAAGGCCGCCGAGAGCGCGTCCGCACGTCTTTGTGCGGACGCCGAAGCAGAAACCGCAGCAACTGATGTCTCATCGGTTGCTGAAGCGACTCAGCCTGTGTCACTTGGCGATGCAGATGACGGTCATGAAGTCACTCATGTCTTCACAGAGTATGAGCTCGGAGTCTCATACTCTCCTGATACGGAAGACGGATCCGTATCGACGGCGATCGAATCCAAGCCACCTGCCAAGCGTGGCATGGATGATGCTATGCGTCGTAGTATCTTTGGTTCGTCTGATGAATCAGACGAACCATCGCCGAAGCGAAGGCGCTCGAGATCGCAAGACTCGGGCGCTAACAGTGGTGTCGGTTCTCCTATTGACACAACTTCGCAACGAGGTGTCAGTCCTTCTGTCGGCACGTCGCAGGAAGAGAGGGACCGCAGCGTGTTGCGTCTCGCTCCCGAGAAGAAGGCATGGATGCCTCCTAAATCCGTCATGGATCACTTGTCGGCGACGACGAGTGATCGTTATCGAACACGGTTGTTCGATTCGTCAAGGATCCATCACCTTGACCCCAGCGCGAAAAACTATCGCGCTGAGAATGATTTCTTCATCGATGCTTTCTTTAGACATTGATGGTACAGTGGGAATCACAAACGTGATGGTCCCTCACTGCTTCAAGCGTGGAACGCCTACATCCATAACCTTGAGGATGTAGGTCGTGACGCTTGGAACGACAAACTTATCAAAGCTCGTGATAAGTTTGAAAAGCGAACCCCGACAGGTGCACGCTACAAGCTGCATCGTCTGTCAAGGGAGAAGGAATTACCCTGCCTCTCTTGGGGAGACTCGTGCCCATGTTGTGTGAACAACTCTGCACGAGCACCTAGGAGGCTTACCTCCTTACTAGCCCGTGGTGGTGCGTACGTATCTCTAGTGAGATGTACGAAGGGATTGACAACCTGAAATCCCTTTACGACCGTGCCGGGAAGACTTTCTCCGGCGGTCCTTCTGCGGCACAGGATGTGCCGCGTCGTACTGCTCAACCAGACCCAGTACGTCAACCATCAGTTGGGAGCGGGGCTCCCAAGTATCCCAGGACGGGGGATAGCCGCGCCACCGGACGAGATAACTCGTCCGACGTCCGTTCACGTCGCGGTGGTTCAACAGCTGCTCAACTAGATAGCGCTGGCCACCGCGAGAGTCCTCTAATGGAGGTGGAGGAGGAGGGAAGACGCTCTCCACACGATCGTGGGGATCCGTGTGTTCCCGAGAGCTTCTTTGATCGCGTAACGCAAGGGTTACGCAACGATCTCGAACATGAGCGGGACAGGCGTCTCCAACTGGCGGACGCTGTCTTGAAGCATCGAGCTGAGTTTGCCTTTGCTCAGCTTGAGAACGAGAGAGCTCTGACATCTCTTGGTGACGAGCTAAGGGTAGCTCATGGGATTGTTGATCGGTCTCGGGATGAGATAACTGCTCTCCAGACCCTTGTCGATGCCCATCATCGGGAGCACAAGGCTCTCTGAGAGATGCTTGAGCGCAAGGGCGTTCTTCATCGGAAGAAGCAGCGTACTGATGGTACGTCTTAAGCCAATCAACGTCAAACGTGGGATGCGTTCGCATCTTACGTGGCAACTCGATCGTGTATGCATTTCCTAGGCGGTGCAATACACGAAATGGGCCGATGTACTTGGGTAGTAGTTTACTACCACCCAAGTTAGTCACTACAATCTTTGGTAGATTAACCGTAGACAGTAGGACTAAGTCACCTTTATTAAATAAAAGAGTGTTTGCCCTTCCATTCTTGTCAGCGTTTTGCTTTTGCTTATCCACCGCTTCGGCGATGGAGTCTTGCACAAAACGGACTACCGTTTCACGAGCCAGTATGAACTCATCTGATGACTCGTTAGCTTCAGTGCGCTGTGAGTGCACTGCAGCAACATTAACCTTTTCTTCAATGAGGGCTTTTTCACTCTCACTGGCATCATCTTCTTCGATATCGATGTTGTCGATATCGGCATCAAACGCAATGACCTCATCGTCAGAGCGTGATGAGCGTGATTCAAATCGGGTTTTGCTCGCGCGAGTCTCTCCCCCCCTTAAACCAGAGTTACACTCGAGTAAGGTGGGTACACGCGGATGGCGCAAGCCATTCACGTAAAACGATGTATGTGTCGTGGACGCATGAATCGAGTTGTCAATGGCAAACTCTATCGTTGACAAGAACTCACTCCAAGTCTAAAAGGAGTGTACGTATCCTCGAAGTATAAGCTTCGAGGACACGATTGGCTCGTTCCGTCTGACCATCTGACTCTGGATGATCAGATATCGACATCTTCAAGCGCGTTCCGAGTGATTTAAACACGGAGCGCCAGAATTCAGCAGTGAAGCGTGGATCTCTGTCTGATACGAGTTCACGGGACAACCCATGAAGTCGGAAGATGGTGTTGATAAAGACATAAGCACAGCCACTTGCCGTGATTGTCTCTGTTACAGCCACAAGGTGTACCATTTTGCTGAATCTGTCAACAAATACAAGAATACCCGTATTCCCGCGTGCGTCTTTGGGTAACCCGAAGACGAAATCCATTGAGATGGATTCCCAGCACTCAGCCAGAACTGGTAGAGGCTGCAAAGGTGCACGCAGTGAAGGACTTGACTTCACTCGTTGACAGACTTCGCATGCGTTAACATACTTTCGCACAAACTGATACTGGCTGGGCCAGTAAAAGGCTCGACTCACCGTGAGATACGTTTTCTCGCGGCCGCGATGTCCTCCTATCGGAGTACCGTGATTTTCGAACATGATCCGCAAACGCAGATCAGTATCATCTGGAATGACAACACGCGGTGTGTCACCAGAAACGGCTGTATAATACAGTAACCCGTTGCAAGTAGTGTATCGATCTGATGCAGATCGATACGCAGACGATAACTGTTTCAACGATTCTCGAGATGGTTGAGAGAGATGTGTCAACAACTTCACAATCTCACCATCTTGGGCGTATGCCCTCCTCACATCATCATACAACGTTGTAGATGGGACTGAGGACGTCATAACCGCAACAGTAACTGTCTCACTGTTGGGTTTCAAGACTGGTTCAAAGTCGGGACGACGTGAGAGCGCATCAGCGACGACATAAGTCGTCCTGGTTTGTACTCGACCGTAAAGTTGTATTCTGCAAAGAATGACAACCACCGCGCCATTCGTTGTGAAAGGTGCGGGCTGTTCACTGCCGTGCGTAACGACGCATGGTCTGTGTAAACAATGAAGGGTCTATCTCCTAATAGATAGACTATGAACTTCGCGAGTGCATACTTCATGGCAAGGGGTTCCTTGTCATGAACTGGATAGTTCCGCTCAGCTGGGTGCAGCTGACGCGGCTGATAGCAGACGACGCCTTCAAGATCGAACTGCATTAATGCACAGCCGATTGCGAAATCGCTGGCATCACAGACCACATGAAATGGCCTGTCCTGATCGGCTATTGCTAGGACTGGGGATTGTATCAAGCTCTGCTTGATACCATCAAAGGAGCGATGACATTCAGCGTCCCATAACCACCTCTCGTTCTTTTTCAACAAACGAGAGAGGTGCACAGTCATATCGGCGTAATTGCGTGAATGCTTATGCAAATACGCCGCTAGCCCAAGGAATTTTCGAAGACCTTTGACATCAACCGGCACAGGCCAGTCGGTGATCGCCTTGATCTTTTCGGGATCAGGACGTACACCGTTCTTACCAACGATGCACCCAAGAAGTGGTATTTCGCTTGCTGCAAATATACACTTCTTGAGATTTGCATACAATTGATGCTTATGCATGATTGTAAGAACCTGTCGGACGTGGTACCTGTGAACCTCAACGTCCGACTTTCCATCCATAGCCCGACTATGGATGAATACGTCATCGAAATAACTCGGCGCGAATTCTTGTACTGGTCTCAACAGATGTGATACACATCTGTTGAACGTGGCAGGGGCATTACTAAGCCCTTGTGGCATTACTAGCCATTCCCAGAGCATGCCGCTAGGCGTGCTAACTGCGGTATAGAGTATATCCCGTTCTCGCATAAGGATTTGATAGAAGCCATCCATCAGATCCATGGACGAGAAGATGGTACTCTTTGACATACCATCAATGATTACGTCCTTCCTCGGTATCGGCGTCTGAGACTGTACCGTTGCAGCATTCAACTTGTTAAATGCATGCACAATCCGCTAACCTCCTGTTGCTTTCGCACACAGAAGGTCGGAGAGCTATGTGGGGAAGTTGATTCCCTCACATGGCCCAAAGCTAAACGATCGGCAAAGAACTTGTCGATCGCAAGTACTTGTTCACGAGGCAGTGGCCACTGCTTCATGACACAGTACTTCGATCCTGGTTTAAGCTCGACCTCGTTTCGAGTACCTTTATCCTTCGGTAATTTGCACGGAACAGTTTCAGAGAATACATCCTTGAATTCAACCAAATCTTCATAGAGAGGATTTGTCTTGAGCGATTCCCATGATTGGGAGTCATATCGCTCAATTCGTGTCTTTTCATCTAGGACACTCTCGTCCATAGATGAACTACTGAGAACTCTCTCGTTCTCAGTAAACACTGTTGCTGACCTTTTGTCGGCTACACACTCGTCGTCAGCGACGAGTACGCAGATCTGCTTGACTTTGCCACTACGCAGATCACGCAAGAACCTTTTGTGTTCGAGCGTTGTCAACTGAGTGATCTTCGAAGTCAACTTCGGAGGCGCAATCAGATCAAGTGTATAAGCGCCTACACTTGATCCGTTATTGACTATGACATTCAATGTCTCAGTCATTTCCTGGAGACTTATTCCCTCAGGCCTCGAAGGACTTATTCCTTCGGCTTCCCGGGGACTTATTCCCGCGGGTTTCGGGGAACTTATTTCCGCCGTATTTGTAATATTGGGACTTATTCCCTTTACTTCCTCTAGCTGTGGTTGCGCAACCACAGCGAGATCCTCTACGAAAGACTCTCCAGTCGATCTAGGATTATCGTTTCACTTAACCTGAGCGATCGATTGTTTCTCTTCTAGATGTTCCCCACTAAGGATACATCTTTGTCCCGGTCCACTCGACTTATTCGATTGGTGGACCTTCGGCGCAGCCTGTGTTTCCTCACAGCCGCCGGAACTTGCTCCGAAGTGTAACTGTTTGTTACACTTAGGTTTTGTGCAGTCGTACTAACGACCGTACCACAAGTGAGGCCATCGCACTTACTCGTAGTACAGCCACACGCTTGTGGACGCTCCAAAACGTTCATCAGATGGCCATCTGATGAACAAGCGGCAGGCATCGTTACTGTTCGATGTTGCCAGTTTACCCATTGTTCGTACCTTCTGAGCCACGGTATTCCAAGGATGACATCAAATTTGGCATCCAAATCCAATACGATAAAGTCATCATCATATTGGGTATCTTCTAGCGTATAGTGGATCTTCACTATACGCTTCATGACGGTTGCGAATGCGCCTGTCGCAAGACGTACCGTCATCCTCGTAGGAGGTGTGTCACATTCACTGAATTTAAAGTGACCATCTTCTAGCGATTGGCGTTGCACAAAATTGTTGGACGCCCCACAATCGACTAGAGCTCGAAGGGACAACTTATTCGTCACTTCGAGTTTCAAGGTAATGAGTGAGATCTCATTACCTAGAGCAGCAACGCACAATGTTTGTGTGTTGGGAGCAACCTTCATCAAGAGGCCCACAAATTCTCTTGACGTTGCTGGACTAGTAGGGTGCTCCGCAACTACTGATCCTGTCCGTTTTTTGACGGTCCATCCCGTTGTTGCGTCTTTGCACCAACGGCGGACCCGCGTCCCTGCCCCTTTCTCATGGGTGGATGGTCATTACGCCCAGTGTTGCGAGACACTGGACGAGGGGCACTACACTCGTAATCGTAGTGTCCTGTCTGTTGCATCTCTGCAACTTCTTGTAGTCTGTAGAGCGAGCCTTCTCGCTCTCTACATAACAGAGTTCCATCGGCTCTGGACCTCCGCTGTCATATCGTCTCGTTTGACGATATGATGTCGAGCTGTCGCGAGCCTGTCTTAGACTGAAGTCTTCCTGTTCCGCGATGGATATGGCTTGTTCTAGTGAATCTAGTTCAAGCCGGAACAGGTGAGTCTTGACGGGACCATCCGAAAGACCCTGCATGGACACCGAAACCAACGTATGTTCATCCACCGGATTGGAACTTATACAACTCGTGAGATGTCGTATATGTTGTGCGTAAGCGTGCACATCACGCTTACCCTGTTTGAGCTTCAAGAGTTTAGTTCGAGCTCTGAACTCAGCTCTAGGCGGTTCAAACGTTTGTCTAAGCCGCGACATGAAGACTTCTAACGACCCAAACGCGTATGGGTCGTGCAACTTGAGCCCCAGTGCCCAAGTCTTGGCACGTCCTGCCAGATTTGACTGGGCAAATGCAACTTGCATATCCCCGTCGTCGATGCGACGCGCCCTTATGGCGTCATCCAATTCGACGAACCATCTCAAGAGGGAGTCCTCTTCGACTCCCCTATACTTGGAGATGTCAATCTTCAAGGTCTCGGGTCGACGCGAGTGCATCGACCCACCAGCAGCAGCCTGCTGCTGTCTCAACAGTTCAAATTGTTGAGCACCCTGTTCTCTCAACAACTCTGCTTGTTGAGAACCTTGTTGGTGGAGCAAGGCTACTTTCTTGCGTTCAGCGTCAAGTTCATTTTGAATGAACTTGGCGATAGTAGCATGTTGGGCATCTCTATTGAGAGCCTCTAGCATGACGCTAATAGCATGGATGCCCATGGTTGAACCCATCCGTTCAACCGCATCCCATTCGACATCGCTCAAATGGGAGTAGCCGTCACGCGTAGCGCGAAAGCTTTGGTCATCTTCATCATCCAACATATTCATGTTGGATGTGAACGCGGTCCTTGGACGGACTACGAAGTGCTACCAGGTGTAACGGGGCACCCTGAAGCTTGTACTGGTGACAGTACAAGCTACTTATTCTGACGACAGAATAAGGCGGTGCCTCGGAACTTCACGTACACTCGTACGTGCAGAGGAAGACGGTAAGAAGCAGCGAGTACTTGGTTAAAGTAAAAAGTAGAACTGTATTTATAATAGTTAATGTCTGCAATAAATCACTATTTATCTTCATCTAACTATGTCTGAATACAAATGTGCATATCAACTATCTGTTCACCACTCATTGCGTGCGTCTGTCGTGGCGCGTCTTCGTTGGTTGATATAATGGCCTATATCAACCAATTAGGAACTACTCGTAAGTGCTCCAGAATATTTGTCCTTATGACCAAATATTCTGAGAATGTAACTCTCACAGTTACATTCTGTAAACAATTTCTTATAAATTGTTATGCAACGATTCACCCCGTTACAGCATTCGCCAGCTATATAGCGCTTCTTTATAAACGCGATTTTCTTATAAAAGAAATAAAAGGTGATGTAAACTAAATCATTAGTAAGCTGGTGCTGATTCTGAGACAGGTGCTGCTGATAAGACTTTTGGCCAATGGTGCTGATAGTGAGATTTACTGAACTAAGATCTCTTCTGTCTAATGGCTGAAATTAGTCAGCCCTTAAAAGCCGATAAGATATTCTATACTTCTTTTAGTGGGAAATCATCCGTGTGTCTGAGACACAGGGTACCAAGTACCCAACTACGAGTAACTGTTTTACAGAGTAGAACAGAGGTACACATATGTAGCTGATCGGTAAAAGTCCCACCCACATAAACGGAAGCAGTACGAGCAGAAGCATGAGCAAAGAAGAACAGGCAGAGATGCAGTAAACCGAGGTATGCATTTGTAGCTGATCGGTGAAAGTCCCACCCACACAAACGGAAGCAGAACGAGCAGAAGCACGAGCAAAGAAGAACAGGCAGAGATGCAGTAGAAGAGAGGTATACAAATGTAGCTGATCGGTGAAAGTCCCACTCACATAAACGGAAGCAGTAGGAGCAAAGAAGAACAGGCAGAGATGCAGTAGAAGAGAGGTATACAAATGTAGCTGATCGGTGAAAGTCCCACTCACATAAACGGAAGCAGTACGAGCAAAGAAGAACAGGCAGAGATGCAGTAGAACAGAGGTATACAAATGTAGCTGATCGGTGAAAGTCCCACTCACATAAACGGAAGCAGTACGAGCAAAGAAGAACAGGCAGAGATGAAGTAGAACAGAGGTATACAAATGTAGCTGATCGGTGAAAGTCCCACTCACACAAACAGAAGCAGTAGGGCCAGAAGCACGAGCAGAGAAGAACAGGCAAAGATGCAGTAAACAGAGGTATACAAATGTAGCTGATCGGTGAAAGTCCCACCACAATCACGGAAGCAGTACGAGCAGAAGCACGAGCAGAGGCGGACAGGCAGAGATGCAGTAGAACAGAGGTATACAAATGTAGCTGATCGGTGAAAGTCCCACCCACATAAACGGAAGCAGTACGAGCAGAAGCACGAGCAAAGAAGAACAGGCAGAGATGCAGTAGAACAGAGGCATACAAATGCAGCTGATCGGTGAAAGTCCCACTCACATGAACTGAAGCAGTACGAGCAGAAGCATGAGCAAAGAAGAACAGGCAGAGATGCAGTAAACCGAGGATACATTTGTAGCTGATCGGTGAAAGTCCCACTCACACAAACAGAAGCAGTAGGGGCAGAAGTACGAGCAGAGAAGAACAGGCAGAGATGCAGTAGAACAGAGGTATACAAATGTAGCTGATCGGTGAAAGTCCCACTCACCGGTGGGAGGGAATGAACGGAAGCAGACGAGCAGAAGCATGAGCAAAGAAGAACAGGCAGAGATGCAGTAAACCGAGGCATACATTTGTAGCTGATCGGTGAAAGTCCCACTCACACAAACAGAAGCAGTAGGGGCAGAAGTACGAGCAGAGAAGAACAGGCAGAGATGCAGTAGAACAGAGGTATACAAATGTAGCTGATCGGTGAAAGTCCCACTCACATGAACGGAAGCAGTACGAGCAGAAGCACGAGCAGAGACGAACAGGCAGAGATGCAGTAGAACAGAGGCATACAAATACAGCTGATCGGTGAAAGTCCCACCCACATAAACGGAAGCAGTACGAGCAGAAGCACGAGCAAAGAAAAACAGGCAGAGATGCAGTAGAACAGAGGCATACAAATGCAGCTGATCGGTGAAAGTCCCACCACACAAACGGAAGCAGTACGAGCAGAAGCACGAGCAGAGACGGACAGGCAGAGATGCAGTAGAACAGAGGTATACAAATGTAGCTGATTGGTGAAAGTCCCACCACAAAAACGGAAGCAGTACGAGCAGAAGCACCAGCAAAGAAAAACAGGCAGAGACGTGGTAGAACTGAGGTGCACACCGGCAGCTGTCGAATGAAGCAGAGAAAAAGGTCTGGCCGTGCTGAATAGGCTGGAGGAAGGAACCGCCCACACGCTTTAACAAAACGCAGGCTTGATTGTGGAAAACAACTAAGAGTAAGCGAGACTCGAACGGTGGCGACATTCCGTGGCTATGCCAGGAATGCAAGACCGACTTCACAGAACGATGATGACGGAGATCTGTTGCAAGAATAACATGCAGACCTGTTATGTCCGGACCCGGGTATCTAATCGGTGACAGTTTTACCACATAAACGGAAGCAGTAGGGGCAGAAGCACGAGCAGAGACGAACAGGCAGAGATGCAGTAGAACAGAGGTATACAAATGTAGCTGATCGGTGAAAGTCCCACCCACATAAACGGAAGCAGTACGAGCAGAAGCACGAGCAAAGAAGAACAGGCAGAGATGCAGTAGAACAGAGGCATACAAATACAGCTGATCGGTGAAAGTCCCCCTCACATAAACGGAAGCAGTACGAGCAGAAGCACGAGCAAAGATGAACAGGCAGAGACGTAGTATCACAGAGGTTTGCATCACGTAAGTTGCAGCTGCAGCCCTGAAAGGTGAGACACATGGCAGTAATTTGAAATAACGAGCGAATATAAGAAGGACAACGCAAATTCAGATTTTCGGAGGAATACTCGAATAAGGGACCTTTCGCGCATTTGTATACGACATACATTGTCTGTATTGAATTCCGGCCCTGCGGCCACAGCAAGTAGCAATCAAATATTTCTTCAGCTTAAACAGGTATGGCACATCCGATTGGCACGAGGGGCCAGCTCACGCAATGCCAGCCGTTTCTTTTTTTCGAGTCGCTAGCTATAGAGGTTTGAACTAAAGCTCATTGCGCTATTTGCTCTTAACCGGAAAGATGCGTCTCGACTTTCTACTTCTTCTAATCTCTGCGTCCGCTGACCGTGCGCTGTCGATCCGATCGTCCATGGGCCTAGTTGATCCAAGCACCGTCACTCTCTCGTCTTCGGATTTCAACACTGAGAAAAGAGTCGCTCGTCAACTTCATCTACGTGAGGTCAAGGAGAACGAGGCCAGAGGTCTCCCCCAAGAACTAGAGTCAATGGTTCGTGTTGCTGTGAACAGCATAATTTCTGAAGAAGATTTCAAGTTTCTCTGCAAACATTTCGAGGATGAACGTCCTCTTGCCATTCTTCTGGACAAACACGGGGCGTCTATGAAGGTAGCTGATCAGTACCGTGATATGTTGGAGAGCCTTGTCCGCCCCGTAGCTTACGATCCACAAGCTAGCCTCTAAGTCATCCGTGGCGTCTGCATCAGTCTGTCATACTTGCAGCAGCTAATCAGCATCAATAACAATATCAGTTGGGTTTTAACTTTTCTCGCGCCTTTTCTTTCCATTCACTAGCCGTCCAAATTGTTCGTGGTGGTAGTGCAGTGTAAAACCAGACATCCTTACAAGTATTCATGTGATTTGGTTGTGTTTCCCTGGTCAAAGATTTAGGGGAAATGTTGAACGTACCGGTCGTGAGTGCGTCATGGTGCCGGCGATTGTGTGGGCCATTAAAAACTACTTTTCCATCAATATCTGTTTTTACCCAGTCTAAATCTGACGAGACCATTCTAATTCTCAATATTTCGTCTTATTCAAATGTTTAATCGTATTTGCTTTTATGTAGGTCGCTGGAATGCGGCCAGATGCTAAAGCTGAGATAATAAAAGAAACGCAGAGAAGTGTGGTTGGACACATTCGAAAATCTCTTGTATATTTTAACTCTTTATGTGCAGTACTATTATTACGGTGCACACAGCATTTGTCAAAGGCGTATTAATGCATTTCCATGAATGTTTATGTGTGTCGTTTTGCTTTCTATTCAAGCTAACGTCTGTCATTGTCCACACACATCAAAGAATCGTCTGTAAATGCCTATTATGTTGCATACCTCAACCTTGATTGCCTTACATCTGGCTGCTTTGACGGATTCGGGTCGCCGTTGTTGTCGTGGTCACTGTGAGTGGCATTTTCTCTGACGAAATTATTGTCGACCGAATCATTCGTAATCCATGCTGTAATGAACGTATTGTACGAATTTTTCAAACAGGTCTATCAATTATACTGTAAAGACTGCATTCACCATAATTGTAACGGGGTAGCCCGTTACATGATGTTGACATCAAATGGTGTCAATAGGGAGATTGCCTAGCGTGCCAGTTCCATGCAAAATCACTCAAAATAAATGATATTGAAGGAATTTTATCCCCGGAGTATAATATCCATGCGCTGATCAAGATTGGTTAATACAAGACATATCAACCAAAGGTACAACTGATCGCCGCCAGAAGCGCGTACTGAGTGGTGAGCAGGTTGCCGTCAGACGACAATGTAAGTTAATATGGTTGGATAAAGACCGGAGATATATGGATAGTTTAACTATATCAGATACAGTTCTCTTTTTACCCTCTACTCAAACTAGCAGTTTGAGTAGATCGGTTTCCTCTGCACGTACGAGTGTACGCGAAGTTTCTTAGCACCCCAAATAAAAGGTCCTTGTTAGGACTTGTGTAGTCATTTCTACCTAAACCATAAATGATAGTTGAATGGCATGGATGTGTACGCATGAAACAAGTGTATTGTTCCTTTCGCGAGAAGTACTGGCTTATAATCTCCACTCTGTTTTGTTTTTGTTGACGTATGTTTTATCTCTGTGCTATCTCAACATTCACGTTGTAGCTCATTGCTTTCCTGTAACCGCCTTACAGCAAATTCGATTGAGATAGGGAAGCGCTCCGGACTCATCCCTGATATAATTAATTCAGTTTACAAAACTGAATCAAATGCAAAGCATTATAGAGCAGCAGTGACTGAAGAACAAATGGATGCTGTTAATTTTTGTATTAACCCAGTACAGAATGTTAGGACAACGTGATCGGCCTGTGCTTGTGAGCGTCTAGCATGTGCTTGTGTGATCGTATTCACCTTCGATCAATTTTAAGCCAATCATGTACGTTCGCCACAATAGTGACCTAGCTAGAGAGTGACTTCTTTTATGCTAACTGACCTATGAGTGGGGACAGGCTATACCGGACTCAGGAAGAGTAAGGTACACACCACTGCGCTATTTACTGACATACGCACAGACAGATAGGTACAGTTTACAAATCCGGTATTCAAACTTGTGCACACTCACTGATAGCGTCAAGACTCGGGCTTGCAACAAATTCGAAGTAGCGTAGGTATCTCAATATTATAATGGCGTCATCAGAAATGGACTGGGTACAATAGATTTTGATTAAAAAAAGGTTTTTGATTAGCCATAACAAATGCGTACACACCCAGTTGACATGTTTAAATGAATCGTTTGCCACATATTCATAATGTACATACATACAATAACAAGTTGTGGAATGATATATTTAGGTACGCGCCCACCCTTTAATACGTACACATTTATGGAAATGTCAAAAATATCAGTTGCCACAAGTTGTAACGTAATGCATAAAAATTTAAGTTAACTATTCTCTATTAAACGAGCGAAGAATTTATGTAACGGGGCACCCTTTGTTTGGGGCGCCACGAACTTCACGTGCACTAGTACGTGCAGAGGAAGGCTAATCTACTCAAATGGCTAGTTTGAGTAAAGGTAAAAGAGAACTGTATTTAATATAGTGAAGCAATAAATATAACTTCAGTCTTTATCTAACTTTGTTGAACTACGTCGTCGTATGACGACAACCTGCTCACCACTCATTGCGCACGTCTAGCAGCGATTGGTGGTAATCTATGGGTAATATGTCATATATCAACTAATCGTTGAGCAGCGCATGAATACAATCCTGGAAGGGAAACATATTCCTTCAATATAATCCATCTAGGATAATATTGGTAGGGAACTGTCACGCTGGACAATATTCCTAGTGACACCGTTTGGTGTCAATATCATGCAACGGGCTACCCCGTTATGTAACCCCCCCTAAACCATTAATCACCCGTTAACTGAATAAGAATTAATAAAGACAGGGTGACCACCGGTCGATCACTCTCGGAAAGGGAGAACTTGCTGCTCAAATACCGTTCATTTTTTTTACCAATCCAACGCATGGTTTCAAAATCAAAGCGAGTTACTACTGTCGCAGCAAGAAAGGCGGCTGCACGCATTCGTGCAGCCGGAGAGAGCACTTCTCACACCTCAGCAGCAGGTGATTTGTCGCCTGCTGTTGTGAAAAATCCACGTGGTGAGTCACCACGTGCAACAGGTACATCCACTGCGTCTGCAGCGGCTGCCGCGAGTCGTAAATCTAGATGAGTCGGAAATAGAGCTCATCGATTCTGGCGAGTCGGATGATGCATCCGACTCGAAGGCGACACCTCACGCCTCCGGATCATCCGGGGCGGATACTACAAGATCTAGGTTAACTGGCCCTGGGGAACGTGGCGTCATCATGTCTGAGATTTTCGGATCGAGCGATTCTTCCGATGATAGGACGCGTGGTGATGGTAATGATGCACCTATAGGCCAGGTACCAAAATTTCCTACGCCACGTTCTCATGTGGAGTCTCGTTGGATGCCGTTATCCAAAGCGTTGGACCGGTCGGCCGGCATGACTACCGATCGAGATCGAATCCCGTTGTTCGACTGTAAGAGGAAGTATCCTTCTAATTCCTGATTCCAGCAAGGAAACTATCCGTGCTGTGTAAGAATTCTTTACCGATGCATTTTCAAACATCGGTGGTACAAGGGGTAGCCGTGTTCGAGACGGTAAAGCCTTGGTGCAAGGATGGAATGCCCTTATCCATAGCATCGAGTTTATTGGTCGTGAGGCCTGGCTCGGTAAACTTGATGCAGCTCGCATCAGGTTTAAGAAGCGCAACCCAGTCGGGGTGCAAAACAAGTTGCACTGGCTGTCAAGAGAAGCAGGATTACCCTGTCCCTCGTAGGTATTTGTGTCCAGGTTGCCTGGACAACTCGAACCGTGCCTCTAGGGAGGCCTACCTCCCTACTGGAGGGCGCGCATCTCTTCTAAGATGGACGAAGAGATTAACACTTTGCAATCCCTGTACTCGCGTTCGAAGAGGTCGTTTTCCGACGGCCCTTCTTCGAACGCAGCGGGTGGATCTCGTTAAATTACTCGCCAAGACCCAGAACATC